GTTTATATCTATATATTTCCTGTGCAGTATTACACCAAAGCACGAAAGCTAAAGAGGAACGAGAAAAAACACAAGGCGTCGTAATATAAATATATAAAACATTAATTCCTACCTACATATAAATATATATATATTATACAATTCTATAATTTATAATACTTTCAACAATAATACTGATGTGAATGCGACTGTCTTTATCTTTTCCTTCCACTGTAAAACCACTGAACAGAGAATAATCGCGTTACGAGTTCGCCTGAGCTTTGCTGAATATTTTTTTTTACCTTTTCCTTTTGGTTCTCTTATTTTTCATGTGACAACGACCGAGTGCGCATTTTTCACGTAGAACAGCTTTTTTTTACGAAAAAAAATTTATTGAAGAGATTTTTTCTCATATCGGAGGGAGGATCAATTTTATAAATAGTTTGTGTTACTTTTGGAAGCAATTTTTAAACAAGTTTGTATTATTAATTTCAATATTTTAACCCTTGGATTCTGGAAGAGATTTGTATTTGTTTGAGTTTAAAGTATATTTTGGAAGAAAGTTTAATGAATTTTTGTAAAATTTTGTGTCTAAAGGTTTTTGGAAATGCTGATTACGAATGTGATTAGTTTTTTAAAATTCAAAATGGCGGATGCAATATGTCAGACTTGTTTTTCTAATAGAATTTCACTAGAACAATTCAATAGAATTTTTATATGAATCCTAGTAGATATTAAATATATCAAAATTTACGCAATTATTTTTTTTTGTAGATGATAATCTTTCTATTATTTTCTCCGAATAACTGAGAAAAAAAAAATTGTTGTTTTTTTGTATTTTTGATACGTCATTTTGAATATTAAAAAACTGACTTAAAATTTATAATCAGTAAACCCAAAAACCCCTGAGTAACTAGTTTCAATCAAATCCGATAAATTAAAAGAATCCGCCATATTGGTTCCACCATTTTGAATTTTTAGAAACTTAACATAAAAATTATAATCAAGAATCCCGAGAATCTCTATACATCAGATTTAATGAAAATTCTATAATTTTAAAATATTTCTCCGCCATATTGGATCCGCCATTTTAAACATTGAAAAACTGACTTAGAATTCGTAACAAGCAAATCAAATTAAAAAAAAAAAAAATAGTAAAATTCACTTTGGAAATGTATAGTTAAAGTTTCTATAGAAGTGAGTGGAAATTAGAAGTTTAGATTGACGGATGAAATTTTTATTATTATTATAAGAAAAGAATGAGACAAAAATAGAACAAAATATACTTTTTTCAGTATAAAATTGTTTCTATATTATAATAAATTACATATTAATTTTACATTTACATATCTATAATCATATAAATCATGAAAATAATAATTAAAAATGATTAACAAATACAAATTTAAAAAGAAATAAAAATTGTTTGTTAAATTTTTAAAAAAGCTCTTTAAAACTCGGCAAATTCGAATTGTTTCTTGATTATAGATGAAAAATTAAAAATTCAAACCTTTTAGCTAAAATAAAAATACCGAATAATAAATTTTTAATAATTTCGATTTTAAGCATATCGTATAATGAGAAGGTATTATTTTTAGAAAAAAATTTAAATAATCTTTGAATTTCTCAAAAGTAATGGACCAATTAAAGATAAGATCATTAGTGCATTTTTATTTATTGAACTATACTTGGAGAATTTTTCGGTTGTTTTTTCTACTTTTATTTTTTGTTTACTTTTTGTTTTTTTTTTTTTTTTGTTCGTTTCTTCAGGTTTGTAAATGAACTTGGTTTGAATTTAGTATCTTGCCTGATCTTTACTATTTTTCTTGCTCCTACTACTTTTCATTTAAAAATTTTAATAAGGAATTTGTTTTCATTTTGTAAAAATTAAAAATATAAATTATTACAATGTAGAATACAATATTGTATATAAATTTTATTATTTTTGTTTCTTATTATTGGTAGAATATTAAGATTCCTTTATAAATATTTTTCAAGGAAAAAAATGCTATAATCTCTATTATAAAATTATGTTTTTATTGCGCAAAAATATAATTGCTGTAAAACTTTTTCAATTAGGATCTGAAATTTCTCTGAGAACGAAAAAGTTTAATTTAGTTGTTGTCATGTTCCGTTGAAAGTCTCAAAGAAGACATAATTTGATTCTTATAACTTAAATTATATTCTCGACAAAATACAATTTACGATTTTTTCTGATTCACATATGAGGATGGGATATAAAATCTCTTCTATTTACTCATTGTTATTATTATTATTATTCATAATTTAAGAAATGTAATTTAAATCCAAAATTAATTTTTCTTATTTTTAAAAAAGAACAAGAATTCTCAATTCATTGTATTATAATTTATTTTTACACAAAATTAGAATATTTTTAAAATATAACTTTTTTTTAAAAAGAAGGAAAAAAAATTATTATTAAACCTTTCCTTGTAACAATTTTATTTATTTTTTTTTTTTTTGCTTACTTTACTAAGATCAACTTTATGAAACATAATATTCAAAAATTAATTTATTGACAACTTTGAAAATAATTGGTTGATTAAAATTTTGATTGTAAAGGTTCGACTGCAAGAGAAAAATTATTTTCAACTGTTGCTGTATTTATAAGTGTCAAAATTGTTTGTTCAAAGTTTCAAACTCATAAAATTTAATCATTTCAATTTATTAAATTATCTAAAATTATTTTTTTTACTCAATAAGGACATTAAGAAAGAATTTAATCTATAAAAAATAAAATTTCTTAATAGTATACAATAGATTATAGTTATTAATAATTTAATAGTAATAAAATTAAATTCCAATTACGAAAGAAGATTTCGACTTTTTCAGCCAATAGTGAATATAATTTGAATTATAAATTTTTAAATTCTGTCATTTTTAAAATTGTTAATTTTATATAAAATAGTAAAAAAAAAAAGTTGTCCGCGCGCGAATTGTTGCTAGTTATTACACCTTTCTACAAAATTTAACTTTTCTTTTCACACACAAAAAAATCAAACATTTTCGGAAACTAAGACCAAAAAAAAATACCCGTGTCTGGCGGTTTTGCTGGATCAAGTCGTTTGTGGCTTCTAGGGGTGAAAACAACCCTTAAATGAAAAGTGACAAGTTATATTTTAAAAATAGATTCAATTTGCCTAAAACTCGTTACTCCGGGGTTTTTGGGGTCGCTAATCACGAATACGATGTCAGTTTTTCAAAATTCAATATGGCGGATCCAATATGGCGTCTGTCAAAATAAAAAATAGATTCAATTTCCCTGAAACTTGTTACTCGGGAGTTTTTGGAGTCGCTGATCGCGAATCAATCCGATGTCAGTTTTTTAAAATTCAAAATGATGGATCCAATATGGCTGTCAACATTTTTAAAAATAGATTCAATTTCCCTGAAACTTGTTACTCGGGGGGTTTTTGGGATCGCTGATTACGAATCTTAAGTAAGATTTTCAAAATTCAAAATGTAGGATCAAAATGCAGATTACAGATCTAGAATGAAACTGAAAGATTTAATTGTGTGATTCTTTTTTGTATTTTGACATTTTGAATTTTTAAAATTTGACTCTTAAGATACGTAATTAACGACCCCAAAAAAACTCCTGAGTAACGAGTTTCAAGGGAAATTGAATCTATTTTTAAAAAAAGTTGTCAGTCATATTGGATTCCCCATTTTGAATTTTGAAAAACTGACATGAGATTTGTAATCAGCGACCTCAAAAACCCCCAAGCAACGAGTTTCAGGCAAATTAAATCATTTTTTTTAAAAGTTGTCCGCCATATTGGATCCGCCATTTTGAATTTTGAAAAACTGACATCAGATTTGTAATCAGCGACCCTAAAAACCCCCAAGTAACAAGTTTCAAGCGAATCTGATCAATTTTTTATTTTGACAGCCGCCATATTGGATCCGCCATTTTGAATTTTGAAAAACTGACATCGCATTCGTGATCAGCGACCCCAAAAACCCCCGAGTTTTCACCCCTAGAAGCCACAAACGACTTGATTCAGCAAAACGGCCAGACACGGGTATTTTTTTTTGGTCCTAGTTTCCGAAAATGTTTGATTTTTTTGTGTGTGAAAAATCGTGTCGGACGGTGTTATTAATGAGAAATAATTTTTATTAAAAACTATTATTATTAATAAGCCATTATTATTCACAATTAATATAAATAAAGAATAATTTTTTGTCACAATTATTAAAAAGTAATAAACCATTTATATTCTTAATAAATAAATAATAACTTTTATTTATAATTGTTATAAATGTAAAATAATTATTATTCACAATTACTGATAATAATAAAGAGTTGTGAATCATAATTATTATTTATAATTATTTTTTTTAATTATTATAAATAAGGTATTACTTTTGTTCAGTTATGGAAAACAATAATACCATTGTACTCGAAAATTAAATTCATTTTATTCCTGACTTGGTTAACTTACAAACTTGATTAACGCCTTGTGTTTTTACTTGAAACAAATTTACTTTTTTTAGTTTTCCATCAAATTTTCCTATAATAAATCATTTTCCCCAATGAGCCAACTGTCAGTCAAAAAGAATAAAAGAAGAAACTAAATTTTCCAATACAGGAAATTTTCCTTTCATTTATTTAAAGTCATAATAAAACAATAGGAGAATTATGTTTGATGATGCACACTCGGTTGTTCTTGATGATATCTGAACTTTTCATATATATATATACAAAAGCTGACCGCGTTACCTTGTCACGTGCTGCATTTTGTCACGGCTGGCCTACTTCTTAAGGAATCGTCGTGTTTTTTTTATCCTTAGTCATTTAGTTGCATGGGAAGTTGAATTCGAATTTTGAAACACAAAGAATCAAAAAAGAACATGTAGAATTGTAGTACTATAAAAAAAGAAAAGAATAGGTTTTCCAGCGATTGATGATGAACAAAGCTCGGGCAAGCTCAATTTTATTATACAAAACAAAAAGGGGGTGACCTTCGACCTTACTGGATCTTGATAATTTCCCGCAGAGGGGTGCATCCAGTGGTTGTTGCCGATCAGGACGACTGGCGGACGTTGAGGCTGTTCCCCTAGGAGTCAAGGGACCACATTCACCAAGGGAAACACAGGAATATAGGTCACCTAGCGAGGACAGCGGTCTAGGGTCCGATATGCCCAGGACCAGGTCAAAATTATTCCATTCCATTTCGTTTTTTTTTTCTATTTCGTTAGCTTTCACAGATTCTAGCATTTTTTTTTTAAATTTTAGACATTTAGTATTTGTTCTGAAAAGAAACCACTGTGGAGTTACAAACTTTCTGGTACTCGAGAGTCCTTACTGTAGAATGGTTCCTTTTTTGATTGTTACCCGGAAAAAAGGAAGAAAGTAACTTATAATACTTTAGTCCTTGTGTCAATATTGAGATATATTGTCAATATTGCATCAATTTTTACTTTTTATACGGAAATGATGTCAATGTTGTCGCAATGTTGCACTACTGAAATTACCCAACTGACAAACAACCGAACTGTCATGAAATGCATGCAACAGAATAGTCACGTAACTGACTTGACACTCTTGTCAGCAGAATTATTATATCGAAAACCTGGCATATAACAGAATATTGTTTCACAGAACTGATTTATAACGGGATGCATGAGTATTCCCAAACTGACAAACAATCGAAATGTTATTTAACAGAAAAGCGTGCAGCAGAATTGAAATTTAAAAGTAATTGTCACGTAATTGTTATGTTGACAAACTGACTTGTAACAAAATTGTCCTTTAACAGAAGTAACAGAATTATTATTTAACAGAACTAACATTGAACAGAATTTATATTTCACTGTATGGCCATAAAACAAAATTGTTAATTAACCATATACTGTCAAGCAAACGAATTGGTAATTTGTTATCTAATCCTGAAAAAGAATAGAATTATCATTTAAGAAAACTGATATTTAACAAAATTCTTCTAATAATCTTCTAATACATTTGACATCCAAGAGAATTGCTAATTTACCGAAATAGCAAGCAACAGAATTCTTATTTTACAGAAGTGACATACAACCGGGACTTTAAACAGAATTATCAATTAGCAGACGTAGCATGAAACAAAATTGTTTATAAAACATTTGTTATTTAACATGCCTGATCTGCAACAGGATTGACAATTTACCGATCTGATAAGCATAAAAGAAAATTATTATCAATAAATAGTTGTTCCGATCGAAGAACCTGTTATAATTTTTTAAGACTCAAAATTCTCCGCTTCTAAATTAAAAACGTATTTTAAATTATAATTTCTTGTAAGCATTTCGTGTTTGTATAAAGATTACAAAAAAGTTGCTGAAAAAATGGTGATTTAAAACATTTTAATTTGTTATTTATTTCACAATGATTTTTAGTTAAAAAGAATCATAACCGGTTCTTCGATCGGAATACTCAATTGTCATTTAATCTACCTGAGCTGCAAAATAATTCTTATTTTATTGAACTTATACAAGAAACAAAATTGCTATTTAACATACATGGTATGGAACAGAATTGACATTTTATTATTTTGACAAGTAACAGAAATGTTATATATCTACAACAGAATTTATATTTTACTATCTGAACCCTAAACAGAATTACAGCACGGAGAAAAATGGAGTTTGAAAAACTGGGAGTCAATATTGAAAAAACAGGACTCAGTCCAGTAAAAGTACATTAATTTATTTCCATTAAACGCATCTTAGGGTATTGCGTATAGTGTATAGAGGGCCTTAGTTCCAAATTTCACTGTAAACAGCATTGAAACACAGGCGAAGATTATAAGGCGCGCTGCAGTGTGCATAGTAGAGAAACTGGACTCAGTCCCCTACTTCGAAATTTTCACAATAAGGGAACGCAGGCGCGGAATAAAATTCTTGTCAAAATTTCAATTATTTTCAAAAATTTTCCTCAATTCAATGATTTTTAATATCTACTATTTTAATAAAATTTTAGAAAAGAATTCAATTATTTACAAAAAAAATTTAATAAAATTCTACGCAAACCTTTAATTATTTTCATAAAATAATAAAACATTCACAGGAATTCAATATTATTTACAAATTTTTTATAAATATATTCGCAATCATTCAATTATTTTCATAAATAATAATATTTTTACAGGGATTAAATTATTTTAGTAAAAAATAAAATTCTTTTTAGGAAATCAATTATTTTCATAAATAATAAAACTCATTGCAGAATTTCAATTATTTTTAATTTAATTTTAATTGAATTTCTCGAAAGATGCACCTAATTATTCTTAGAAATTTTAGCAAAATTTGCCGAAAGAATTAAATTCTTTAAAAAATTATTGATAAAATTCTTTATGGGAATTGAATTTTAAGAAGCATTCAATTATTCAGTAAATTGTTTTTTTTGTAGGTATTTAAATAATTGAATTCTAGTAAAATTTTCTAATAAAAATTGATTAAAAAATGGCCTTCAATTAAAATTTTAGATTATAATTGAATATTATAAAGCCAGAGTGTGAATTTTTAGAAAGAATTGAATTTTGAAAAGGTTTCAAATTAAAATGTGTGAAAAAATGAATTTTTTATATTTTTAACTAACAATTCTGTGGAATTATTTTTTTTTGAAAAAGTTTAATTGCGGATTTTTTTTTTTGAAATTATTTGAAGTTTTTATTTTCTAATATATATTTAATTGAAGAATTTACGAATCATTAAAATTTCGTAAAATTGAATATTGTAAACAAATAGATTTGAAAATTGCCAAAAAACTTTTTCAAAAATTATTGAAAATAATCGATTTAAAGAAGAATTTTAGTCAACAATTCTTGAAAAAATAATTGAATTTGAAATGATTTTATCACTCGTTTATCTTTAATTATTACAAAAACATGAAGAAATCGACCACTCCGAGTCTGTTGCATTGCAATTTTGGTAAAAATAACAATTTTGTTGCTTATAAGGTCGGTAAATTGACTCTCTAAATCTGAATTAGTGAAAAGTCGTCCATTAATTAGTGCAAATTTTTAGACGCATGAATATTCCCGAAATCATATTTCAAATAACAGTTAATTGACACAGAACCATTTAACATAAATTTCATTTAACATGAAATTCATTTGATATAAAACTCATTTGAATAATGAAATTTATTTGGCATCGATGGCATTTGACATAAATTTCATTTTAACATAAAATTCGTTTGAAGTACAATTTATTTGACATCAATGTCATTTAGCGTGAAATTCATTTGATATAAATTTTATTTGACATAAAATTTATTTTAGATAAAAGCCATTGAGATACATTTCATGTGACATAAATTTCATTCGACATAAAATTCATTTGACACAAAAATCATTTAATATAATTCTCATTTAACATAAAATTCACTTGACATAAAATTCATTTGACATAGAAATATAGGCGATAATTTTAAAATTGTACCAATCAAAATTTTCTTGATAATATCTGATTGGTTATTACTTTAAAAATTTCAGCCAATATAGTTTTATGTGAAATGAATTTTATGTTGAACGAATTTTCTTTCAAATAAAATTTATGTTAAATGAAACTTATGTCAAATGGTTTTTATGTTAAGTTAAATGCATTTCAAATGATTTTTTTAAAATGGGAATTATGATAAATGAGTTTTATATCAAATGAAGTTTATGTTAAATGAGTCTTATGTCAAATGATTTTCATATGAAATGATATTTATGTCATGTGAATTTTATACCAAATGATATTTATTTTTAATGTTAAATGTTAAATGTTAAATGTTAAATTTTAAATGTTCTATTTAAATGACAATTTTGGTGCTGTTTAGATTCGCAAATTTTAGTCAAATTCTACTGAAAATTAGCCAATCTAAATTTTACTGAAATTTTACAAATAAAATGTTACTAAAAGTTAGTCTTTATTTAGCAAAATGTTAATTTGCTACAATGCAAATTAAATTTCTTTACAATTTGAAATTAATACTTTTTAAAATTAAATTTCCTGATAGAAATTATGTCCAATAATTTTGTTTTCTTTGCTTTCAATGTCTTTTTTAAACCCTCCCAATATACGTACATAATTTATGTTTTGCATCAACAGCAATAATAATATTTGAAACTAACAAACAACAGTGTTTATCAGATTTTCCAAGAAATTACTTTAGTAAACCACGGAAAAAGAAGCATTTTCTATTTTACAATGTTTGCGAATGTCGTTGAAAGAAGCTGTTATAAGCAATAAAGTTGAAATTGTATGGTGTTGAAAACTTATCGACATTGATGAAAAGTGGTTTTAAGGGACAAAGTGAATGTGGAGAACAACATTGTACTTTCGTATATATACAGCATACACTATATATATACATATAGATCCAGCTATAAAAGTTTTGAGTGGACATTTGATTGTCGTAAATTTACTAACTGCTACCATAGCACAACACAAAGTTTTCACCTTATCGAAGGTTTACACAAATAGCTTCAAGGTAAATCGCCGCCCTTAAACTCAAAGTACACACCAGTTTTATGCTCGCAAAAAACAATTTATCAATTTCCAATACAGTATAAAATATATATATATATTGTTTATCGAATAAAGTTTTAAAATTTTCGTGTGTTAAAGAAAGCAACATTTTGCTGCTAACCATAAGTATGTAAATTTTGTTATCGTTTTATTTTCTAAACGACATTAACCGCAATTTTGTCTCTTTTAGAAATGGAAGACTAGTGAAATTAGGCACAAAAAGAAACTTAACATTTTTTTATTATTCTCATGATAAAGTTCAGAAAATTGAATTTAAAGAAATTTCGATATGGAAAAATCTGCAATCGCAAAGAATCGAACCCGGACTCATACTTTTCTTGTGAGTCAAACAGAGAAGCCGGTGAGCCATCTCACTTTGAAATTACTGTCAAATTTGGAAGTAAAATAAAAAGTATTAGAGATGATGAAATTTTAAAAAACAAATTAATAGAAGTTTTAATTAACAGAAAAAAGCGAAATCACTGAAATCTTTAAATTTAGCAACTGCTGTATTCATTAAAGTTCAATCAAAACTCAATATTATTATTCTAATAAATAAATTTATGTTTAATTAATCAAGTAGTGTTTATTATTATATTTTTACTAGTCGATTTTTATTTTTTTACCATACACTAATATCTAAAGAAGTTCGAAAAT